GCGGAGGCGGCGGTGGCGGTGCGGGCTCCTCCGGAAGGCGTGCTGCGTGGCGCTCCCGCTGCAGATGCTGTTCCTGCTCTTCCTGCTCCTGCTCCTCCTGCTCCCGGTGGGGGAAGAGGACCGCAGCTGCACCCAGGCCAACAACTTCGCCCGCTCTTTCGCGTTCATGCTGCGCTATAGTGGCCCTCCGCCCACCTAGCCCACTGGGGCACACAGGTGACATCCTTTCCCAACCGCCAGCAATCCCAGGGCCCCTCCTGAGGTTGCCTGCTGGGGAACCTGGAACCGGGTAGGCCAGAGACCACAGAGCTGCCTGGACATAAACCCCACACCAGGGTTTCCAGAACAAACTCGCTTTTATACAGCATTGTCATCGTCCGTTTATACCTAAATGTGTATCTGTATGACTCGGGACAACGTCTAGGACTTCTATATTCACCTATGTAAACGCTCAGTATGTCCAGCTTCCTACCTGATGTCTCTCTAGTCAGCAAGGTTCCTATCAGTGTCCTTCTCCAGGGGGACTTTGTGGCCTTTGTGCCTTGGCCTGCCATCGGCCCTGACAAGCAGGAGCAGTACACAACACGTTATGACAAACTCTCACCCAGAAGCCAGTCCCCAATCCAGGTGTCAGAGCTGTGAGCACAGGAGAGCAGAGCAGACCCTCGCTCGCTGGGAGCTCAGGACTCTAGCTGTATGCAGGATGAGGACAAACATGCTAACTTGGTCTTAAAGCCTGGACGGGGAGGTGGAGAGAGTGAGGGTGGGAGAGGGCACCGTGGGGGCAGTGGGAGGTGGAAGAGGCCGTGACATTCAGGGAGGTGGGGACGAACCCTGAAGGGCAGACAGAACTAGGAGAGCACAGCGTAAGGGGGCACTGAGCAAGAGTGGCACCAAGTGCCGGCGTTCTGAGAGCACAGACCCACAGCGGGTGTCCCTGGAGAGTTCCAGATGGGCTTAGATTTCGTCTGTCTAGTTCAGGAAGAAGGGAAGGAGCTAGGCTTTACTTTTTATTTATACTAGAGGATGAAATGTTCCAGGTAGCAAGCAGCCCCTGCAGCTGCAGGGAGAGTTGTGTGACCTCTTCAGCCGAGGGACTGAGTGTTGTCACCTAGAAGCTGAGCTGAAGGTGAGCTCTGGCCACACTGGGGGTAGGGACAGAGGGTCCAACACAGACAAGACTCAACCTCGGAGCGCAGCCTGTCCGAAGGGTGCTCCTTCCCCTTCCCACAGGTCCCTGGACCATGAATGTCTCACCTGCACCCCGCTGGGGTCCCAGGGCCCAGGTCACCAGCGTGGCCTTTGGACCAGGTCTAGGCACGTGGGCTCCATGCACTACCTGGGATGTGGCCAAGGTGACTCCATGTTGGGTCCCAGAGCCAGAAATATCTCTTCCTCCCAGGGGATTCTGGGATGGATCCTAAGTGCCTTCAAAGTGGATCACGTTTCCATAAATGAACACTAAATTCTCTTTTATTTAGTGCTCACTCTTTACAAACAGATTTTATCTATTTATAAATATTTTATCTATTTGCTCAACTGCTAGCAGGAGGCCAGCGGAGTGGTATCAGACTTGGAATCATGAAGTATTGTAGACACGGGGGAACTTTAAGCAGAGGGGAAACCAAGGCCCAAGAGAGCCCTGAGCCCCAGACCACTGCTGTCGCACACAGGCTGGCCCCCTCCCCCCAGCATTGCCTGGTTATGGTGCAGCAGTCCTCACGGGGCCCTGGCTAGGAGGAGCTGGGCATCTGCAGGGCAGGCAAACTGTGCTGGGGCACTCCAGGCCCTGACTCCCTCCAGATGTTTGGGAACCAGTCACAAAGGCTGCTCTCAGTAGGCGGCCACTTTACTGGAAAGTCAGGTGCTGGGTGAACTCGGGGCTCAGGCCAGGCCAAGCACATATGCTCCCTAGTCATCTGCTCTAGCCCTAGAGGCTCACTAGTTAATTGGTCCAGCCCTAGGCCACAGCAGAGGACCCTGAGTGCTCCCATCTGAACTCTCCCACTTCACAGGCAAGAAATCTGAGGCCTGGAGAGGGAAAGTTACTCACCCATGGCCACACAGCAAGAGGCTGGGCCAAAGCTGAACCAGTCACCATGGTCCTCGGGCAGTGCCCTGCTCAGTTTAACACAATCCCCCCACATTGGTACCTTCAAAAAGAAAGAGCCAGGCTGGGTTGCAGCTCAGGGGTAGAGCATTTGCCTGGCACTTGTGAGCCCTGTTTCAATTCCCAGCACTACCAGAAAAAAAAAATGTGTATCATGAATATAATTTTGTCTCAGGTGCCCCATGTTGGGGGTGGGGACAGGGAGTGCAATATGAGGCCTGGCTGGCGGGGGAATGTCTCCCTATATTTTTAAACTTTGATAACGATGCCATAAAAATTTACTTGTTTGCACAAGTCTTATTTTTAAAGAGAGAATCGATATTTTCCTTACTTTCATATAAACACAGGCATGATATAACGGCCCATGAACAGGCGCTTTAACATGTCGTCTCTTGTGCTTAGAGGGGGTGTGGACAGCGGTTATGTTCCTGCTACTTTCTAGCCTCTTTAACAACAGCTACCAGGAGTCTCAAGGTGCCATTTGAGAAGAATGTTGCGTGGAACCTGTGTGTGCCTTGTCCCTCTGTCCCAAAGAGAGATCTCCTAGAGTGGATGGTAACATGTGACTATCACGGCCCAGCCCGGAGGCGAGTGTGTGTAGGCGTGTGTGTGTGTGTGTGTGTGTGCGCGCGCGCGTGCATGTAACAAGTGGGCAAGGCCGATGCCCTTAGCTCCTCCCCTCACCTGTCCCCAACCCTGCTCTTTTCTTCATCCAGCAAGTTCAGGATCCAGATGTTTCTAAAGCAAGGCTGTGAGTGGGTGGGCAGGCAGGCAAGGGCAGCCAGGGAGGCTGGAGGTAACCTGGAGGTGACTTTTGGTTTGGCACCTGGCCCCTTGGTAGGCACTTGTCAGCTGTGCTCTGTCACCCTCCAGAGGTTCCACAGTACTCTACCTCTAGGTTTGAGATGAGAAAGCAGAGTGTGAAGACGAACTTTTGTGCACACCGCAGGGGGGTTTGAACCAGGCTGTCTGATCCTGAAGCCCGTGCTGGGGGGAGAGGGCCCCTGGCGGGTCCTGCCAGGTGCAGCGCTGCAGCCTGGGGAGTGGCCCTCTGCTGTCAGCTCAGCTGGGATGGGCCAGAGCGAGCCTCTGTGCCAGTTTTCTGAAGACTGGCCCTTCGCTCCAAGAGGTCACCTGCCATCATCTTCACATCCCTTTGAGAGGTGGGACTTTCCACCCAGCCGGTCACTGAGCCCCTCTTCAGCCTACCAGGAGGCCCAGTCCTGAGTGACCCAACCCTGCAGCCCCAGTGACAGGGGAAGAAACTAGAACTCGTGTTTGCTGAGCTACATTAAAATCCAGAGGCCGGTGTGTCTCCTGGGTGCAGAGGAAGTGGGTGCTGGATGAAGTGACCCAGCTCCGTCTCTCAGCCCCTATTTGCCTCAGACTCCCCAGGAGGACGGGGGTGGGGGGGGTGGGGGTTAGGAGACAGTTGTCCCTGGACAGCTCCAGGAGAAGGAAGCTGGGGTCCTCTGTAGCTGGGAGCCAATGACAGGGCCCTGATGTAGGGCCGCTAGCAGAAGGTGCTGAGGGCATCGCAGCTCTTGCCTGCTGAGAGGTGGCACAGATGGTCCTCTGCTCATTTGATTGGAGCTGGGGCCTGATGGGGAGGCTGAGAAGCTTGGCAGGGGCTTCAGGGGGCTGCAGTTGGCTGGTCTGGCTGGAGAAGACCGACCGAGAAGTGGGAGAGAGGGAGACAGCGGTGGAATGATGTTGGGCTTGGTGCTGCTGACTGTGCCCCAAAATGGTTAAGATACTGAGTCATGCTCTGTGTATGTCTGTCCCACCATTCAAGATGTGGGAAAGGGGAGGGAGGGAGGGTGGAGAGAGAGAGAGAGAGAGAGAGAGAGAGAGAGAGAGAGAGAGAGAGAAAGAGAGAGAGAAGAAGAAGAGGAGGAGGAGGAGGAGGAGAAGGAGGAGGAGGAGGAGGAGGAGAGGAGAAAAGAAAAGGAAAGTAGAGAAAATGTCAGGCTGTACCTTCCTAGTTCCCAGTTTCACCCAAGGACAAGGACCAGTGGCAAAGCTTTCACTAACCAAAAGCAAAATGAAAACATCAAGGACAGATGCCTTGAAATTTTTACATAGGATTTGATTTCATCTCAGGGACACTCCTCCATCCTGAGATTGTGTCCTGCCTACAGCACGTTGTGTTTGGTGGCCTTTAGGAGACGAGGGATGAGCGGAGGTCGCTGTGTCTTATTTTGTGGTTTGTCTTCTGTCTTCTGAGTGGACACAGTAGAAAGTGTCCCACCCCGTGCTGGTCTCCCCAGTGCCACGTTCTTTCTGGAAGAATACACAGTGCTTGAGTGTGGGGAAGCCCGCTAGAGATGGCGGGAGGGGAGCAAGGCCTCATGCAGGACAGACAGAGGGGAGAGAAGCGGGGAGGACAAGGTGGGGGTCAGAGTCGGGGCACTGGGCAGGGAGAGCCGGGAGCCCTCCACCTGTGGCTTCAGGGAAAGAAGCAGACACCCGCTGGTTCACATTCCGCTGGCCAGTTTTGCACCCGCCTGTGTCTGTGGCTCTCCCGCCTCTGGTGGGCAGAAGTCTTGTGCCTCTTCATTCTTACCCAATGCGACAGGCATCCAGGTGCATCTGTCTCTGTGCCAGGCTTTGAGTGGGAAGATTCGGGGTAAGCCAAGCCTAGGCCTGTCCTCAAGGAGCTCACAGACCAAGGACAGGGTCTGTCTAGACCAGGGCCCGGCCGCTGCCCCTGACTGTGCTCCTCCCCCGTCCTGGAGGTGGCCAGTCCTCCCTCGCAGCAGCTGGAAGAGCTGCGGAGGAGCCTGGGAAATCCAGGGGTGGCATGAGGGTGTCTTGCTACCTCTGGGCAAAGGACAGTGGATAACACTAAATTCTCAGTTGAAGAGCATCCTGGGGTTCCTCGTTCTGTCAAGGGGGAGATCTTTATAGACTGTTACGACCCTGTGCCCATTTGACAGGGTGGAGCACAGAGACCCAGCAGCTTCTGCTCACCCAGGCTCTCAGGGTGTTAGTCCTGGAGGTGGAGGTGACCCATGCCCCTAGGGGGACCCTGCTCAGTGCCAGGCAGAGTCAAGTTGGGGCTCTGCTATTAATAAGCTGTGTGGCCTCGGGTCAGTACCCGCCCCCTCCCCCACCTTTTGGGAAAAAAGGGAATTTGGCCCCAAAGCGTCCAGCGCTGCCACTGAAAACCTGAGGCAGTCGCTGGGCTGTCTCCTGGGCTCGAGGGTGACAGCACTCAGGTTTGGTGACTCTCTCCCCACGCAGAGGCACCGCCGGGTGACCGGCTCCCAGCCCAGGGCTTCAGGACAACTGACAGCCCTGGAGCATGGTCTGTGGGAACCCAGGGAGAGTGCGCTGGGCCAGGACAGTTCCCTGAGGTCCAGTACTTGGTGGCTCTTCGGGAAGCAACTGTGGTCCTCCCTGACACTGTCCACCCCAGGGCGAGGCGGCAGACCCTTAGGTCTCTTATCCAGAGGTTTCCTCAGACCGGCTTAGAATGAGGCTGCTGTCTTTTTCTCAGGAGAGCAAACAACTTGCTTGTAAATGAGGGACTCTCTCTCTCTCTCTCTCTCTCTCTCTCTCTCTCTCTCTCTCTCTCTCT